CCTGGATGACACGTTAAGTAGTAATGTTTCATAAATCACATTCAACATTTCACCTTTGCACCTCCCACGCATGCAACAGCAAAATTATGCAAGATAGCTTAATACAGTGAACCCTTCACCAACCACTGCTGCTCCATACTCACCAAAGTTCAGCCATGGGACTGTACACTCACCAAAGTTCAACCATGGGACTGTACACTCACCAAAGTTCAACCATGGGACTGTACACTCACCAAAGTTCAACCATGGGACTGTACACTCACCAAAGTTCAACCATGGGACTGTACACTCACCAAAGTTCAACCATGGGACTGTACACTCACCAAAGTTCAACCATGGGACTGTACACTCACCAAAGTTCAACCATGGGACTGTACACTCATCAAAGTTCAACCATGGGACTGTACACTCATCAAAGTTCAACCATGGGACTGTACACTCATCAAAGTTCAACCATGGGACTGTACACTCATCAAAGTTCAACCATGGGACTGTACACTCATCAAAGTTCAACCATGGGACTGTACACTCACCAAAGTTCAACCATGGGACTGTACACTCATCAAAGTTCAACCATGGGACTGTACACTCATCAAAGTTCAACCATGGGACTGTACACTCATCAAAGTTCAACCATGGGCCCGTACACTCACCAAAGTGTCCCGTAGCTTGATTGATAGCACACTCAGCTCACACACTGAAGCCCGTGGTTCGATCCCCGGTACGAGTGAAAACATTGGGCGTGTTTCCTTAAGACACCTGCTGTCCATGTTCAACTAGCAGTAAGTAGGTATCTGGATGTTAGCCGACTGGTGTGGGTCGCATCCTGGGAGACAAAAAATAACCTAACTTTCCCGAAATGTTCTGCATAACCAGGGACTTTATATACATTATGTCCCTGATGTTAGCTATGGTCTGTATAAGTTGTATCATGTACATGTAGAAATAAAGATTATTATTGTAAGTTCAACCACGGGACTGTACTGCTTCTTGTTGTCTCGTGTTCTCTCTGCCCACCACCTTCTATATAGAAAACCTAGAGTTTACCTGCTTTTGTTGATCCGAGTGTATATGTGGTTAATGGGCAGGCACATTCCTATAGTCATCTTTGTCAGCTGTGAATATGGTAACCTGAATCATCTAGTTGTAATATACAACACTGTTAGGTACTGATGTAGTGAGTGTTAGGTGTTGTGGTGACTGTTAGGTGTTGATGTAGTGATTGTTAGGTATTGATGTAGTGACTGTTAGGTGTTGTGTTGACTTAGGTGTTGATGTAGTGACTGTTAGGTGTTGTGGTGACTGTTAGGTGTTGATGTAGTGACTGTTAAGTGTTGTGGTGACTTAGGTGTTGTGGTGACTGTTAGGTGTTGTGGTGACTGTTAGGTTGTGTGGTAACTGTTAGGTGTTGTGATGTTAGTGACTGGTTTAGGTGTTGATGGTGACTGTTAGGTGTTGTGGGTGACTGTTAGGTGTTGTGTGTGACTGTTAAGTGTTGTGGTGACTGTTAGGTGTTGTGGTGACTGTTAGGTGTTGTGGTGACTGTTAGGTGTTGATTGTAGTGACTGTTAAGGTGTTGTGGTGACTGTTAGGTGTTGTGGTGACTGTTAGGTGTTGTGGTAACTGTTAGGTGTTGATGTGTGACTGTTAGGTGTTGTGGTGACTGTTAGTGTGTTGTGGGGACTGTTAGGTGTTGTGGGTGACTGTTAGGTGTTGTGGTGACTGTTAGATGTTGTAGTGACTGTTAGGTGTTGTGGTGACTGTTAGGTGTTGATGTAGTGACTGTTAAGTGTTGTGGTGACTGTTAGGTCGTTGTGGTGACTGTTAGGTGTGTGATGTAGGTGTTGTGGTGACTGTTAGGTGTTGTGGTGACTGTTAGGTGTTGTGGTGACTGTTAGGTGTGTGTGACTGTTAGTGTGTGCTGTTAGTGTTGTGGTGACTGTTAGGTGTTGATGTAGTGACTGTTAGGTGTTGTGGTGACTGTTAGGTGTTGTGGTGACTGTTAGGTGTTGTGGTGACTGTTAGGTGTTGTGGTGACTGTTAGGTGTTGTGGTGACTGTTAGGTGTTGATGTAGTGACTGTTAGGTGTTGTGGTGACTTAGGTTGCTGACTGTTAGGTTTGTGACTGTTAGGTGTTGTGGTGACTGTATGGTGTTGTGGTGACTTTAGGTGTTGTGGTGACTGTTAGGTGTTGTGATGACTGTTAGGTGTTGTGGTGACTGTTAGGTGTTGTGGTGACTGTTAGGTGTTGTGGTGACTGTTAGGTGTTGTGTGACTGTTAGGTGTTGTGGTGACTGTTAGGTGTTGTGGCTGTAAGGTGTTGTGGTTGTACGTGTTATGGATTTGGTTGTGGTGACTTAGTGTGCTGTGATGACTTAGGTGTTGTAGTGACTGTTAGGTGTTGATAGTAGTGACTGTTAGGTGTTGTGGTGACTGTTAGGTGCTGATGTAGTGACTGTTAGGTGTTGTGGTGAACTTATGTGTTGTGGTGACTTTAGTGTTGTGGTGACTGTTAGGTGTTGTGAGTGACGTTAGGTGTTGTGGTGACTGTTAGGTGTTGTGGTGACTGTTAGGTGTGTGGATGAGTTAGGTGTTGTGGTGACTGTTAGGTGTTGTGGTGACTGTTAGATGTTGTAGGTGACTGTTAGGTGTTGTGGTGACTGTTAGGTGTTGATGTAGTGACTGTTAGTGTTGTGGTGACTGTTAGGTGTTGTGGTGACTGTTAGGTGTTGTGGTAACTGTTAGTGTGTGTGATGTTTGTTGTGGTGACTGTTAGGTGTTGTGGTGACTGTTAGTGTTTGTGACTGTTGTGTTGTGGTGACTGTTAGGTGTTGTGGTGACTTTGTGTTGTGTGATTAGTGTTGTGGTGACTGTTAGGATGTTGATGTAGTGACTGTTAGGTGTTGTGGTGACTGTTAGGTGTTGATGTAGTGACTGTTAGGTGTTGTGGTGACTGTTAGTGGTTGTGGTGACTGTTAGTGTTGTGTTGACTGTAGGGTTGTGAGACTGTTAGGTGTTGTGGTGACGTTAGGTGTTGTGGTGACTGTTAGGTGTTGTGGTGACTGTTAGGTGTTGTGGTGACTGTTAGGTGTTGATGGTGACTGTTAGGTGTTGTGTGACTGTTAGGTGTTGTGGTGACTGTTAGGTGTTGTGGTGACTGTTAGGTGTTGTGGTGACTGTTAGGTGTTGTGGTGACTTATGTGTTGTGGTGACTGTTAGGTGTTGTGGTGACTGTTAGTGTTGTGTGATGAGTGTGGGGTGGTGAGTGACGTTAGGTGTTGTGGTGACTTTAGGTGTGATGTAGTGACTGTTAGGTGTTGTGGTGACTTATGTGTTGTGGTGACTTAGTGTTGTGGTGACTGTTAGGTGTTGTGATGACTGTTAGGTGTTGTGGTGACTGTTAGGTGTTGTGGTGACTGTTTGAGTAGTGTTGTGATGACTGTTAGGTGTTGTGGTGACTGTTAGGTGTTGTGATGACTGTTAGGTGTTGTGGTGACTGTTAGGTGTTGTGGTGACTTATGTGTTGTGGTGACTGTTAGGTGTTGTGATGACTGTTAGGTGTTGTGGTGACTGTTAGGTGTGTGTGGCTAGGTGAGGGTGACTTTAGGAGATGCGATGTTAGGATGGTTGACTTTACCTTGTGTGATGTTAGGTGATGGTTAGGTCTGCCGACTGGTTCAGACCGCTATGTTGTATGTATCAAATGAGATTGTGATTACAGCGTTGTGCAGGTTTCGGATTACATTTAATTCCTCCTTCGATTACTTTTATATCGTTTACCTGGCTTCTCCGATGAGCAAGTTGTTAATTGTTATCAGAATCAAGGGTATTTAATGACAGAATCAGTAATGATCAAGGCGTCAAGGTCATCGTCCACACGCTAGCCTTGATGCCATTACAATTACAAATACTTCAGTTTGGAATGTAGAAGCCGGCTATCAATTTTCATGTGCAACTCAACACGTTTTTTTATTATCTGAGGAAGTGGCAATAAGAGCAGCTGCAGAGCTGCCAGTGGATTCATGTTTAAAACTCATCACTGTCTGTAACCTGTGAAATGTGCGCCCTCACTTACCACAGAGATTTCTTCTCCAGTCTTTGTGCTTAATTTATGCAACAGATAATCTTTGTTAAGTTTCTTGGGAAAGAACTTTGAGGAACATTTATGTCTAGTAAATATATCTTCAACGAGTTAGTGTTCGTTTAGTCTTTGATATGGAGTTGATGCAGGTTATGGGATCTGATACCACTGTTTTTGTTTCTCATTTGAATCTGTTTACTTCAGAACATGACCCCCCCCCCTTCCCTTCAAGGGGGTTCCTTGATGTTGAAGGTCTCTTGATCTAGGGAATGGATCTGTGCTCCAATTCCCTGCATTAAGCCTGAATGTCTTCTGTCCTCCCCCAGGTGCTGTATAAACCCTACGGGTTTAGAGTTCCCCGTGAATCCATTTTTTTTTTTTTTTTGACTTCTGGACATGACGTAAGATTCATGATAACATCGTTTGGTTCATATCTCAACATTTTAATAAATCACGACGCTACATTCACATCGTTCCTTATATTACAAAGTGTACACCACCAAAAATTATTCCCAAATGTTCATTTCTCGGTCACTCCCGGAGTTAAATGTGCTTCTTTGACTTTCATATTACCACAGGTACATCACGATCCATTATAATTTTAATATGCATTTGGGGAAGCGCTGAGCCCGTAGGGGTCATACAGCGCCTGGGAAATAAGAGGTAAGTAAATAGGTTGGATCCAGGGAAGTGGAGAACTCCAGCTGCCTTGATCTTGAACCCTTCACCGACATCATGGCACCGACCTAAAAGGGGAAAATCTGTTTTAATCAACTGATACACACTGTGTGACGTTGCTAACGAATGTTGCAGATAAGCCAGTGAGAGACGAAGCTTACTTCATGTGCAGACACATTCTTCAGTGCTGATGCGAGGAGTCGGTGCTGATGTAGTTATAGGTACATATATAATAACTTAATTATATTACTTGTTCTTTATTTATCCTGCCACTGAGTGTCTCAGTGTGTGGGTCGTATATACACAAGAGATTACAGCTGAATGTTCAGCTCAGAGAGTTAGTTGGTTCGTTAGTGGGGTTTAAAGCCTATCAATTACACGAGGCACACTAAGGCTGCTCATAACTTTTCCACCACTGAACAAGTATACTTAAATCCCTTAAACAGATATTAAAGTAAACTCTTAGCGTATATACTTTGAGAGAATGCACATTGGTCTGTATACCCTGTGTGAGATGGTAGGGTAGGAGTGAAGAGAAACTAAAGAGAGGCTATTACAGGTGGAGTAAGAGAGGAGAATATTAGAGAAGGTGAAAAGGAGAGAATGGGAGGGAAGGAAGATGGAGGAGAGGGCGAATGGAAAGGGAAAGTATACGGAGGAAAGAGAAAATGGGACAGGGATGCAGAGGGAGTAAAGATGGAAAGGGAAAGTATACGGAGGAAAGAGAAAATGGGACGGGGATGCAGAGGGAGTAAAGATGGAAAGGGAATAAGAGTTAACGGCCACCCAGAAGTTCCCTCACACGAAGAGCAAGAGATAAACATACTGCCTCCAGCGATACTTGCTTTGAAACCGGTTTTATTGGTTAAAATTGAGAGCTTGTGTATTACAGTGGGGAGGGGTGTTGGTGGTGGGAAGGGGTGTTGGTAGTAGGGAGGGTAGATTGGTGTTAGGGAAGGGAGTACTAATAAAGTGGGTTGAGGGTAAGGTGGTGGTGTGATGGAGTTGTGGTGCTGGTAGTGGTAGGCTGCTGGTGGAAGTGGTTGGTGGTAGGGTGATGGGGGAGTGGGATCGGTTATAAGTAGTGGTAGATTGGTTGCATGGGTTGGGTAGAGTGGCTCTTGGAGAGAAAGGTGATGGGGGTGGGCTGGTGGCAGGGAAAGGTTGTTGGTGTTGGTGTGGTCGTACATGGGTTGGGGTAGGATAGTGGTGGGGGTAGGCTAGTGACATAAGTGGGTTAGAGACACGATAAGAAGCTGGGGCAGGTGGCGCTTCGTCCTCTGGGTAGGAGAGAATATGTTGGTAAGTTCCATTTGGATGGTACATATATCCAGAGCCTTGGATAGGAGCCGGACTGGGGCTAGATGCGCTAGGAAGACGGTAATCCCAAGCTGCTCTTGGGCCAGGACAAGCCACACTAGGGATAGGATTAAGCACAGTGGTTAGAGGAAAGGATGACATAGAAACCTTGGAGTAACTTAAAGAGCATACCTTAAAGACCTGACCTTGGACTGTGGATACAGGATAGGAGAATGTCGGTCTAATGGTGCTGGAGATAGGATAGGAGTATACGGAATTAGTGGTGCAGATAGAATTTGAATATGTGGGAGTGTTGGTGCCTAAAAAAGGAAAGGAGTATATCGGACTAGCATTGCTGCTGAAAGTGTATAGTGTTTGACTAATATTGGATGGAAAACTGACTGAATCACATGGGGCGAGGTCAGGAATGGGGATGTCTGGCGAGCTGTGGATATGGTGGTAAGCAGGAATACGGGATTGGGGGACTGTGGTGCGAGGCAGAGGATAGGGGACGCAATACAACGGACAGCTGTTAGTGATGGTCGTGGTTACGTGAGTGGGGCAGAGATGGACAGAATAGACTGGGAAGGAGGCACTGGCGGTGGAAGAGTCATTGAAACACTTGGGAAGAGGATAACTAGTAGCGGTGTCATGGTCCTCACGCACTGACGTGTGCAGCGACCCGGGTACTACCGTCATGCCCTTCATGCCAAGACCTTGTGATTTGGAGGAACACCATGCCCCTTTTGTGGATGTGGAGGGTGATCCTGGTACTCCTAGGAACGTGGAGGTGAACTCTGGTTCTCTTTTGGACTTGGAAGATGCCACTGGTACGTAGGTGCATCGTGGAGACGTGACTGACGACCATGGTATACCCAGGGACGCGGGGGATGAGTCTGTTAATCCTGGGGAAGTGGAGGTTGAGCCTGGCGCTCTTGGAGATGCTGAGGTCAATTTTGAAATTCCTGAGGACGCGGGTGTTGAACCTGGTACTTGTTTGGACGTGGAGATCAGCTCCGGAACTCCCGAGGATGCAAGCGTCGTCAAGCCTGGTACTCTTGGAGACGCTGAAGTCAAACTTGATATACTTGGAGACGTGGAACACTGAAGATCCTTAAGAAGCCTTAATAAATCCTGTAGGACCCGAGACGACACTTTCCTATCTCTTTCGCCCTTTGCTATTTCCGCTGTCAATGTTGAAATCACTGGCAGGATATTTTCGGGAGTGATGTTTGTTTCGTCACGAGGAGGAGGAGGAGCAGGAGGATGGTAGTGGAGAGGGTAATATTGACTATATATTTCCTTCTCCATGTCCTTCTGAAATTCCAGGTTGGAACGCTTGTGAGCAAGGTGTTCCCAGGCGTGACCCGAGGGAAAGCTGCTGTTGTTGCTTCTACAGTGCTTGAAGAAACATCGGTGACGAAATCTTGTCTTTTTCGGGGGTTCGATGTCCTCGTCGGGGGGGTTCTCGTCGTCTGTATCCTCTGACGTCTTCCAAAGGTCCATTCTTTGCCACAACTGCTTGAGAAAGCCTCAGTCGATGACCTTTAATTTGTGTGCCAGTAGGGAAGAAAGTTGAAGACGTTCATGTGAGGTGTTCTTCAATACAAGGTACTTGCCACTACAGAGCACAAAGTTGAGGACTTTACTGCTGCAGGACCATATCTTGCTGAGGGCTCAGCACCTTACTGCTGCTCTCACTGAAGGCGTGCTTCACTACTACTATATCATGCCTGTTGCAACTGACATCTCCAAGTAACTTGATGGCGCTGCAACAGGGAAAGAGACACACGGTTTGAAGTATCTTCTCCTGATGTTGTCCTCCGAAGTTTGTTCTGAAAGATTTATGAAAAAAGTACTAAGGCTACTGTTACCTCTTTATAAGAAAATAATTATTTTCCCAACTTATATAAAAATAAAGTGTTTTCAATGCGTAGTAGCGCAACGACACTTATAAAACTGCAAGATATTTAAAGAACTTTTTACTAATATGAAAAAACTCGTGTCTGAGCGAAACACTGCAGTAAAGATTTCCTCTGTTATAAGTGTCAATGTACTTACGTATGGTACGTTTCTACTTACATGACCTGTTTTATCACAGTCATTGCTGTTAATAAAATCCAGAAAACACGAAATTAATTTATAAGTTACTGACATTAGCATCACATCGACGGTCCAGCAATTGAGATATTTCTAGGCCCGTCCCAGCATGTCTCAAAACTATCAACACTCGTAAGGGCCACAGAACAATATAGTATTATTCTTACCACGAAAACATGCCCATTGTTTGGAGGCGAATAGAAGTGGAATAATGCAAAGACTTTAAGCTGTGCATAAGTGTACTTTGAGCATAAGGCAAAAACCACTTTGGGAAAAATCCACTTAAGTTAAGAGCCACGTGTACAAAACCCACCCGGAGAAGAACCCTTTGATCTCAATGCAGAAATGGATATAAACCACTTTAAAAAGAAAACTGCGACGTTCAGGGGAAAAAAAGCATGACCAAAGGCCCCAACATCAGTACGAGAACCAGAGCATATCAGTGACGACTGAGACGCTTGTGCAACATTTGGGTATCTTTATTCCAGAATAACGATACCCAAATGCTGCACAAGTGCCTCATTTATCAACTTATCAGTTTTTTAAACCATTTATTCATATATCACTGACGAATGGATAACCTACAACAGCTTCAGAAAATCGGAATTTCCTTATTTATGGCAATGGACCTGAGTCAACATAGTGTTTGCATCCAATTAGGGACTTGAACATTGAGCACTCAGTACTGTATGGTTTATTGATGGGACTTTTGCAACAGTTCCAAGACTGTTCCAGCAATTATACGTCATCCGGCCCCCTCTTAGTCTCTGCTATGATGTGTGTATGCTCTTCTGTGTGCAAAGTCTGAAACCACCTCCTCAGTACTAAGGACTTTGCATTGCCGTCTGCTTTAACGATGACGAAGCTGGCAAGATCACCACCGCCTCGGCTATGAACGCTCCCAAGAACCGTGACCTCGAAGTGGCTTTTTCCCTTGTGTTGAGGGCAAAGAAATCGGTGTTTGTGAAGAAGTTTGGCAGCGACGTCACCAGGTAATCAACAGGCAACTTGAAACGACTCACTGAAGATCAAAATGACTGGAGCATAGTCGACTCCATCAAAAAAAAATAATTCCAGCTGTCAGCACTGTGATCAAGGTCACCTTCGCTGTAATCTCAATGACATCTCAGGAACTAAGTGAAGGCCTATGCATCTCACATAACCATGTTAATCTCAGTGAGCTAAAGCGATTCCACCACATCACCCCATGTTTGAACTGCTGTGTATATACCCTACCTCGCCAAGGACTGCCCTTTGAAGGAAAATACTGCCACATCTGCAACACTGAAGGACGGTCACACTCAGAAGGATTGCACCTCGACCTCTCAACCAAAATGTCTCAACTGTAAGAATGATCATCATACTCACGCAGCAATGTGCCCTCTCAGGAAGGAAATAGTAAATCAGAAAAAAAAACTTAGACCAAAAGAAAAGCAACTCCACCAAGAGTCAACTTACGCTGACATCACTCAAACTTCAAACTCACACTCAAAGAATTCTCAGAGTTACGCAACAGCCTACTTCTGCTACCAACTTTATTCCAACACTCCTAGTTGGCCCTCTCCCTAAGATTATGTACTGCATGATGTGTGGCCATCATGTAGTACATCGTGATGAACACCGCCTGCCTTGGAACCTTCAACTCTACATCAATGAACTCTTTCGCCTCAACAACCTGCCCATCTTCAAGTTTCCTGATACCACACAATCAGCAGAAATGCCGAAAATCTTAGGCTTCACCATTCCATCAGATCCTCCAATCACAGCCGCCCAGTCCACTCCTGACACTCCGGCTGTCCAAGCCACTCCGCCTCTTCAGCCTGCCACCACCTCCATACCCACCTGAAGATTAAAATTAAGACTCTCCCGCCTCTGGCGAAGAAATTCAAGTAGACAGCCACACTCCTGGCTTCACCTGAAAAAAAAAATCTACGACTCTACACTACACCTACGAACACTAACACCATCTTCGCCAAAGAATTCCAACCTCGACTCTGCAATGAAACTGTTAAATACTCTTATGAAGCCCCATACAACTTCACACCACGACAAGTCCAAGATTTTGTGAAAGGATTTATCGATGACTTCGACTACTACGTAACACGCACATACCCATCAAAAGAAGTGTTTAGATAATTCAAGAATGGGTTATTCTAATTAACACAGTAAGCATAACTGCTGCTCCTGCCTGCTGTTCCCAGCCTGACTGCTGCTATTCTCGCCATCCAGCACTCTGCTGCCTGATGACGAAGATGGCTTCATTTCTACGGCTGAAGACACGTCTCTCCTTTGTTATTCGCCTATCCCCACTTCCCCGCTCTCTCCTCACCGGTATCAAGACACCACCATCCCTCCCTTAAGACACCTGCTGTCCCTGTTCACCTAGCAGTAAAATAGGTACCTGGGTGTTAGCCGACTGATGTGGGTCGCATCCTGGGGACAAAATTAACCTAATTTGCCAGAAATGCACTCTGCATAACAAAGGGCTTGTAGTATGTCACTGATGTCACTGCATAAGTTCCATCATATACTTGTAGAAATAAAGATTATTATTGTTAATATTATTTTATTATTATTATTATTATTATTATTATTATTATTATTATTATTATTATTATTATTATTATTATTATTATTATTACTGTGGTACTCGACTACTGTTGAGTCATTCTGTTGTGGTTAGTATATCATGTATGAATAACTAAAGTGTAATGAATACTTGTTAATGCGCAGAAATAACCCATGACCTGTATATTTCGATCCCCTTCTGGGATCCTCTTCAACAGATGAAGAGGATCCCAGAATGGGATCGAAATATACAGATCAATTAATCTCCTGAGCCTCTATCTCCATGTGAGTTATTATTGAGTATATCATGTATGTACTCAAAACTGGCGTGTATGCTCTTACCCAGGACTTTCGTATACTCAGGCCTAGTACTGTCGCAGCAACATTTCTATGAAAGGAGCCTTTGTTAATATGGAGTGGGGGGAACGTGCCCGAAACGTCGTTGTAAGCTTCTCTCTCCTATGTGCTGATTATTTGTGTATTGTACCAGCCACGGTATTGTTTATACTGTGTGGATCTGTCTACCAGCGGGACCTGTCTACCAGCGGGATCTGTCTACCAGCGGGACCTATCTACTAGCGGGACCTGTCTACCAGCGGGATCTGTCTACCAGCTGGATCTGTCTACCAGGGGGATCTGTCTACCAGCGGGATCTGTCTACCAGCGGGACCTGTCTACCAGCGGGACCTGTCTACCAGCGGGATCTGTCTACCAGCGGGACCTATCTACTAGCGGGACCTGTCTACCAGCGGGATCTGTCTACCAGCGGGATCTGTCTACCAGGGGGATCTGTCTACCAGCGGGATCTGTCTACCAGCGGGACCTGTCTACCAGCGGGACCTGTCTACCAGCGGGATCTGTCTACCAGCGGGACCTATCTACTAGCGGGACCTGTCTACCAGCGGGATCTGTCTACCAGCGGGATCTGTCTACCAGGGGGATCTGTCTACCAGCGGGATCTGTCTACCAGCGGGACCTGTCTACCAGCGGGACCTGTCTACCAGCGGGATCTGTCTACCAGCGGGATTTGTCTACCACTGTCTACCAGCGGGACCTGTCTACCAGCGGGACCTGTCTACCTGCGGGACCTGTCTGCCAGCGGGACCTGTCTACCAGCGGGACCTGTCTACCTGCGGGACCTGTCTACCAGCGGGACCTGACAACGTCCCTTCAGTGGTTCTTGCCCTGGGGCTGTAAAGAGTTCTTGATCCAAGAAATCGGAGCAACCCACTACCTCTGATCAAACATTACTAATAATAACAATATTACTAATAATAATAATAATAATAATAATAATAATAATAATAATAATAATAATAATAATAAAATAATAATAATAATGACAATAAGTAATAATTAGTAATAATAATTATACACCGTCAGTTATAGGTTAATTAACAAATAAAGCCTACACATGAGGCTGTGTGCTTTATAATAAGCAGTCAAATTTTAAAATTAATGTTTATTTTATGATCTTCAACTCAAAATAAGTGTTTAATAACCTGACTGGTGAAAGTTTGTGCATCGCGGGAGGAAAGAATTCACTTTTTATTTTTTTTTTTTTTGTTATCAGACTGAATGGCGGGCAGATGATGCGCCTTTTAACTTGTACGGCGACTGTTATGCCGGACGACTATTTTAACCTACGACTATTTTCATGGTCGACCATTTTAACTTGCGACTACTTTTACGGGCGACCATTTTAACCTGCGATTACTTTCACGGGCGACCATTTTAACGTACGACTATTTTCACAGGGGACCATTTTAACGTACAACTATTTTTCATTGGCGGCCATTTTAACATCAATATTTTCACGGCGACAATATTAATTTTCAACCATTTAGACAGGCGGCCATTTTAACGGGATATTATATTAACAGGCGACTATTTTCATGGGCAATCATTTCAACAGCTGACCAATATGATGGGCGACCATTTTAAAGGTGATCATTTACAGGACGGTCATTTTAAAAGGCCACTGTTTTAACATGTGACCCTTTGAACTAATGACCATATTAATGATAAACAGGGAAAAAGAATGGCAGTTACTATAATAAAAAACAAATCATTTTTATAAAAGCAAAATTTCGAAATCGTCAAAATCCAGCCTAATTTCGAAATCGTCAAAATCCAGCCTAATTTCGAAATCGTCAAAATCCAGCCTAATTTCGAAATCGTCAAAATCTAGCCTAATTTCGAAATCGTCAAAATCCAGCCTAATTTCGAAATCGTCAAAATCTAGCCTAATTTCGAAATCGTCAAAATCCAGCCTAATTTCGAAATCGTCAAAATCCAGCCTAAAGATTCGAAAAGATTGGTAAACATTTAAGAATGACGGGCCTGGATAAATCAAAATTTATTAGAATTAGCAGAAAATACGTATGCCAGTCCTCTCTTCAACATTGCTAGTCATCAACAAAGTCAGAAAGAAGAGGCGACGCCACTCTCAGTAATATATACCATGAGGTTTTCCTGGAAAAATGTCAGCTATGATATCGTTGCAGAGGTTGACACGAACATCCCGTGTTTTGTTGTTCTTGTCAACCTAGCCAATATCGCGCAACAAATATACTAAAAAATGCACTTAGGATAGATGCCTTGGGACGACGTTTCGGTCTATCCTGGATCATTAAGCCATCAGTTTGACAATGTTGAGCAGCGGTATTAGACAGCTAGTTGCAGCGGTACGAGAGACAGCTAGTTGCAGCGGCACGAGAGGCAGTTGCAGCAGGGCGCACGAGAGACAGCTAGTTGCAGCGGCACAGAGACAGCTAGTTGTAAGTGGCACGAGAGACAGCTGTTGCACCGGCACGAGAGACAGCTAGTTGCAGCGGCACGAGAGGCTAGTTGTAGCGGCACGAGAGACGGCTAGTTGCAGCGGCACAAGAGACAGCTAGTTGTAACGGCACGAGAGACAGTTGTAGCAGCACGAGAGACAGCTAGTTGCAGCGGCACGAGAGACAGCTAGTTGTAGCGGCACGAGAGACAGCTAGTTGCAGCGGCACGAGAGACAGCTAGTTGTAACGGCACGAGAGACAGTTGCAGCGGCACGAGAGACAGCTAGTTGTAGCGGCACGAGAGACGGCTAGTTGTAGCGGCACGAGAGACAGCTAGTTGTAGCGGCACAAGAGACAGCTAGTTGTAACGGCACGAGAGACAGTTGTAGCAGCACGAGACAGCTAGTTGCAGCGGCACGAGACAGCTAGTTGTAGCGGCACGAGAGACAGCTAGTTGCAGCAGCACGAGAGAGCTAGTTGTAACGGCACGAGAGACAGTTGTAGCAGCACAAGAGACAGCTAGTTGCAGCGGCACGAGACAGCTAGTTGTAGCGGCACGAGACAGCTAGTGCAGCGGCACGAGAGACAGCTAGTTGTAACGGCACGAGAGACAGTTGTAGCAGCACGAGAGACAGCTAGTTGTAGCGGCACGAGAGACAGCTAGTTGTAACGGCACGAGAGACAATTGTAGCAGCACGAGAGAGAGCTAGTTGTAGCGGCACGAGAGACAGCTAGTTGCAGCGGCACGAGAGACAGCTAGTTGTAACGGCACGAGAGACAGTTGTAGCAGCACGAGAGACAGCTAGTTGCATCGGCACGAGACAGCTAGTTGTAGCGGCACGAGAGACAGCTAGTTGCAGCGGCACGAGAGACAGCTAGTTGTAACGGCACGAGAGACAGTTGTAGCAGCACGAGAGACAGCTAGTTGTAGCGGCACGAGAGACAGCTAGTCGCAGAGGTACGAGAGACAGCTAGTTGTAACGGCACGAGAGAGTTGTAGCAGCACGAGAGACAGCTAGTTGCAGCGGCACGAGACAGCTAGTTGTAGCGGCACGAGAGACAGCTAGTTGCAGCGGCACAAGAGACAGCTAGTTGTAACGGCACGAGAGACAGTTGTAGCAGCACGAGAGACAGCTAGTTGCAGCGGCACGAGAGACAGCTAGTTGCAGCGGCACGAGAGACAGCTAGTTGCAGCGGCACGAGAGACAGCTAGTTGCAGCGGCACGAGAGACAGCTAGTTGTAACGGCACGAGAGACAGTTGTAGCAGCACGAGAGACAGCTAGTTGCTAGTGTCAATTATCAGATAATTGTTTCTTCTCCCCCGGGGTACATAACACGACCAGCGCAGATTTAGTCCATATTTTAGTACCTATTTTCAATATACTAATAATTATCAGATGAAAGCATTCATGGTTATCCTGTGAAGCGAGGTGATTAACTTAATGAGTTATCCTAGATAATTTACACTATGTATGATAATTGTAATTAAGTATACCTGTGCCTAAATAAACTTACACTACACAAACTAGACCACATCTGTAGTCAAGATTAACACTACATCTGGAAATTAGTCACTTCTTTTGTTTTGAGTTATCCTAGGTAATTTACACGTATATTACTATGTATGATAATTTGTATAACTGTTTGTGTACCTGTACGTAAATAATTTAAACTTATACACCAATAACCCGCCCGCAGGAGAGAGGAGCTTACGACGACGTTTCGGTCCGACTTAGACCATTTATAGTCACTGATACAAGAGTCAGGGAGATATTCTGGCTCCCTCACTCTTCTGTAAATGGTCCAAGTCGGACCGAACCTTCTCTCACTTATGTGCGGCTTATTTGTGTGTAAATGAGTTCATTTAGGTAGAGGTACACATAAATACGGGTTATTTATCTATTGTTCCAGTCAAGGTATTGTGGCTTGTTTTTTTATCTTCAATCCCAGCTGACACCTGGTCATAGTAAACAGCAATACTCTTGATTACCTAATACAGCAATGTGTCGAGCATCTCCGAGAGAAGACTGGTAACTGGAGGGGTGAACTGGCTGGTAGGGACAAGACAGTTTATTCACTCCAGCTCTGGGGGGTAGAGTGAGGTGTTGAGGAGCTTAGGAAACGTACACCCTCACCCTCGACGTGTGAAGCCAGACTGTCGGAAGTTGAGGATGTGAGAGGCTGCCAGCTCAGCCTGTGGGCGGGGCACACACCCAGGAGAGATGATGTGGGCGGGGCACACACCCAGGAGAGATGATGTGGGCGGGGCACACACCCAGGAGAGATGATGTGGCCGGGCACACACCCAGGAGAGATGATGTGGGCGGGGCACACACCCAGGAGAGATGATGTGGGCGGGGCACACACCCAGGAGAGATGATGTGGGCGGGGCACACACCCAGGAGAGATTATGTGGGCGGGGCACACACCCAGGAGAGATGATGTGGGCGGGGCACACACCCAGGAGAGATGATGTGGGCGGGCACACACCCAGGAGAGATGATGTGGGCGGGGCACACACCCAGGAGAGATTATGTGGGCGGGACACACACCCAGGAGAGATGATGTGGGCGGGGCACACACCCAGGAGAGATGATGTGGGCGGGGCACACACCCAGAAGAGATGATGTGGGCGGGGCACACACCCAGGAGAGATGATGTGGGCGGGGCACACACCCAGGAGAGATGATGTGGGTGGGGCACACACCCAGGAGAGATGATGTGGGCGGGGTTCAGTAGGGACGGATTACAACGTGGGCGTGGTTTAACAGGGAGAAGATGTAGGAGTGGTCGAACAGTGGAGCAAAGTAATTAATGCATGGGACCCTGTATACAGGGATGAAGGAAGTAGGCTCCTAATATGAAGTAAGGATGGTCTGGGGTGCATAATAAAGATATTAAACTAACTAATATGGAATGTAGGGGGATGTGGGCGGTGGCCAGCAGGACGAAGAGCACGTGGGTGGTGGCCAGCTGGACGAAGAGCACGTGGGCGGTGGCCAGCAGGGGATCGAAGAGCACGTGGGTGGTGGCCAGTCTGACGAAGAGCACGTGGGTGGTGGCCAAGCAGGACGAAGAGCACGTGGGGTGGTGGCCAGCAGGACGAAGAGACGTGGGGTGGTGGGCCAGCAGGACGAAGAGCACGTGGGTGGTGCTCAGCAGGACGAAGAGCACGTGGGTGGTGCCCAGCAGGACGAAGAGCACGTGGGTGGTGCTCAGCAGGACGAAGAGCACGTGGGTGGTGCTCAGACAGGACGGAAGAGCACGTGGGTGGTCCCAGCAGGACGAAGAGCCGTGGGTGGAGCCCTGCTGGACGAAGGCACGTGGGTGGTGGCCAGCAGGACGAAGAGCACGTGGGTGGTGCCCAGCAGGACGAAGAGCACGTGGGTGGTGCCCAGCAGGACGAAGACAGCACGTGGGTTGGTGCCCAGCTGGACGAAGAGACGTGGGTGTGTGGGCCAGAGGACGAAGAGGCACGTGGGTGGTGCCCAGCTGGGACGAAGAGACGTGGGTGGTGCCCGCAGGACGAGAGACGTGGGTCGGTGCCCAGCTGGACGAAGAGCACGAGGGTGTGCCCAGCAGGACGAAGAGCACGTGGGTGGTGCCCAGCAGGGGACGAAGAGCACGTGGGTGGTGGCCCGCAGGACGAAGAGCACGTGGATGGTGCCCAGGCTGGGACGAAGAGCCACGTGGGTGGTGGCCCAGCAGGACGAAGGCACGTGGGCGGTGGACGCAGGACGAAGAGCACGTGGGTGGAGCCCAGAAAACAAAAAAAAAACCCCCCCCCCCCCCCCCCCCCCCCCCCCCCCCCCCCCCCAAAAAAACAAAACCCCCCCCCCCCCCCCCCCCCCCCAAAAACCCAGGACGAAGAGCACGTGGGTGGTTGCCCAGCAGGACGAGAGCACGTGGTGGTGGCCAGAAGGACGAAGAGCACGTGGGCGGTTGGCCAGCAGGACGAAGAGCACGTGGGTGTGCCAGCAGGACGAAGAGCACGTGTGTGGTGGCCCGCAGACGAAGGCACGTGGGTGGTGGCCAGCAGGACGAAAGAGCACGTGGGCGGTGGCCAGCAGGACGAAGTGCCACTGGGTGGTGCCCAGCTGGCGACGAAGAGCACGTGGGTGGTGGCAGCAGGACGAAGAGCACGTGGAGTGGTGGCCAGCAGCGAAAGAGCACGTGGGTGGTGCCCAGCAGGACAGAGAACGTGGGTGGTTGGCACAGCAGGACGAAGCAGCACGTGGGTGGTGGGCCAGCAGGACGAAGAGCACGTGGCGGTGGCCAGCAGGACGAAGAGCACTTGGGGGTGGTGCCCAGCAGGACGAAGAGCACGTGGGTGGTGGCCGCTGGACGAAGATGCACGTGGGTGGTGCCCAGCAGGACGAAGAGCACGTGGGTGGTGCCCAGCAGGACGAAGAGCACGTGGGTGGTGGCCAGCAGGACGAAGAGCACGTGGGCGGTGGCCAGCAGGACGAAGAGCACGTGGGTGGTGCCCAGCAGGACGAAGAGCACGTGGGTGGTGGCCAGCAGGACGAAGAGCACGTGGGTGGTGGCCAGCAGGACGAAGAGCACGGGGTGGTGCCAGCTGACGAAGAGCACGTGGCGGATGTATTGTGGCAGGTGGGTGGTGCCCAGCAGGACGAAGAGCACGTGGGTGGTGCCCAGCTGGACGAAGAGCACGTGGGTGGTGGCCAGCTGGACGAAGAGCACGTGGGTGGTGCCCAGCAGGACGAAGAGCACGTGGGCGGTGGCCAGCAGGACGAAGAGCACGTGGGTGGTGCCCAGCAGGACGAAGAGCACGTGGGCGGTGGCCAGCAGGACGAAGAGCACGTGGGTGTTACCCTTGTGCCAGCGGACGAAGGAACGTGGGTGGTAGCAGCAGGACGAAGAGCACGTGGGTGGTGGCCAGCAGGACGAAGAGCCGTGAGGCGGTGCCAGCAGGACGAAGAGCACGTGGGCCGGATGGCAGCAGGACGAAAGAGCACGTGGGTGTGTCTGCTGGACGAAGAGACGTGGGTGGTGGCCAGCAGGACGAAGAGCACGTGGGTGGTGCCCAGCAGGACGAAGAGCACGTGGTTGGTGCCCAGCTGGACGAAGAGCACGTGGGTGATGCCCAGCAGGACGAAGAGCACGTGGGTGGTGCCTAGCAGGACGAAGTGCACGGGGGTGGTGCCCAGCAGGACGAAGAGCACGTGTGTTGGTGGCCCAGCAGGACGAAGAGCACGTGGGTGGTGCCCAGCAGGACGAAGAGCACGTGGGTGGTGCCTAGCAGGACGAAGAGCACGTGGGTGGTGCCCAGCAGGACGAAGAGCACGTGGGTGGTGCCCAGCTGGACGAAGAGCACGTGGGTGATGCCCAGCAGGACGATGAGCACGTGGGTGGTGCCCAGCAGGACGAAGAGCACGTGGGTGGTGCCCAGCAGGACGAAGAGCACGTGGGTGGTGCCCAGCTGGACGAAGAGCACGTGGGTGGCGCCCAGCAGGACGAAGAGCACGTGGGTGATGCCCAGCAGGACGAAGAGCACGTGGGTGGTGCCCAGCAGTACGAAGAGCACGTGGGTGGTGCCCAGCAGGACGAAGAGCACGTGGGTGGTGCCCAGCAGGACGAAGAGCACGTGGGTGGTGCCCAGCAGGACGAAGAGCACGTGGGTGGTGCCCAGCAGGACGAAGAGCACGTGGGTGGTGCCCAGCTGTACGAAGAGCACGTGGGTGATGCCCAGCAGGACGAAGAGCACGTGGGTGGTGCCCAGCAGGACGAAGAGCACGTGGGTGGGTGCCAGCAGGACGAAGAGCACGTGGGTGGTGCCCAGCAGGACGAAGAGCACGTGGGTGGTGCCTAGCAGGACAAGCAGACGTGGGTGGTGCCCAGCAGGACGAAGAGCACTGTGGGTGGTGCCCAGCCTGACGAAGAGCCGTGGGTGATGCCAGGCAGGACGATGAGCTCGTGGGTGGTTTGCCCAGCAGGACGAAGAAGCACGTGGGTGGTGCCCAGCATGACGAAGAGCAGTGGGTGGAGCCCAGCTGGACGAAGGCCACGTGGGGTGGCGCCCAGCAGGACGAAGGCACGTGGGTGATGCCCAGCAGGACGAAGAGCAAAACCATGGGTGGTGCCCAGCAGTACGAGAGCACGTGGTGGTGCCAGCAGGACGAGAGCACGTTACCCTTTTGGTTTCCGGTGGTGCCCAGCAGGACGAAGAGCACTGGGGTGGTGCCAGCCAGGACGAAGAGCACGTGGTGGTGCCCAGCAGGACGAAGAGCACGTGGGGTGAGTGCCCAGCTGTACGAAGAGCACGTGGGTGATGCCCAGCAGGACGAAGAGCACGTGGGTGGTGCCCAGCAGGACGAAGAGCACGTGGGTGGTGCCCAGCAGGACGAAGAGCACGTGGGTGGTGCCCAGCTGGACGAAGAGCACGTGGGTGGCGCCGCAGAAACGAGAGGCACGTGGGTGAATGCCCAGCAGAAAACAAAGGACGAAGGAGCACGTGGGTGGTGCCCAGCAGGACGAAGAGCACGTGGTGATGCCCAGCAGGACGAAGAGCACGTGGTGGTGCTTGCAGGACGAGAGCACGTGGGTGGTTGCCCAGCAGGACGAAGAAGCACGTGGGTGGGGTCCCAGCAGGACGAATGAGCACGTGGGGGTTGCCAGCAGGACGAAGAGCACGTGGGTGGTGCCCAGCTGCGACGAAGAGACACGGGGTGGCGGCCAGCAGGACGAAGAGCACGTGGGTGGTGCCCAGCAGGACGAAGAGCACGTGGGTGGTGCCCAGCAGGACGAAGAGCACGTGGGTGGTGCCCAGCAGGACGAAGAGCACGTGGGTGGTGCCCAGCTGGACGAAGAGCACGTGGGTGGTGCCAGCTGGACGAAGGCACGTGGTTGGTGCCCAGAAAGGACGAAGGAGCACGTGGGTGGTGCCCAGCAGGACGAAGAGCACGTGGGTGGTGCCCAGAAGGACGAAGAGCAAGTGGGCGGGGCCCAGTGGGCCGAAAAGCATGTGTGGGGCCTACCAAGCCGTAGAGCATGTAGGCGGGTGCAGCCAGAGAGTAAAGTGAATAATGGAAGTGCCCGGTAGGGAAAGGGGGTGCCTAAAACTTAGGCCTATCACAATCCAGTAGACTCAAGATGATGTAATTCACTCATTTTCCACAGATGAC